TTTCTTTAACAGCATTATTAGCCAAGCTGGTAATGGCTGCGCCGGAAAAAGTTTCTACACTCGTGATTCTTTCATTGACGCAGCTAATACTTTCCCCAACTTTGCCAATTCCGTTACAAAGCGTGAAATTGCAACCATGTTTGCTCATTTCACTCACGAGACCGGACGTAAGATTACTTTTCTTTCTTCTCTTGGTTTTTATTTTAATATATGATTATAAAAAAATTTGTTTATTTGTTTGTACATCTACTCTAAGTCATGACCAATTCTAACTTTTAGCAAACTATAACATGATCATGAGTAATTTACTTTCATAACATAAGGAATGCAAATGATGATTATATAATTATTAAATTTACAACACGTACGTTAAAGTGTTTAAAATAGTCATTGAGTAAGACGTATGATTAAACATTCGGTATAATAATAAAAAGAATGTTTGGCTTTATCTTAGTTCGTTTGGATGACTATAAATCACTTTGTTTAATGTGCATCCCTATATCGTATAGACTTTTGCCATATAGAAGAAGTAAACGGAGCGTCAGGTGACTACTGCGATGAGAACAACAGACAATACCCATGTCAACCAGGCAAAAATTACTTTGGTCGTGGTCCGATCCAACTATCATGGAATTACAACTATGGAGCGTGTGGTCAGAGTCTTAACCTTGACCTCCTTCGCCAGCCCGAACTAGTAAGTAGCAACCCAACTGTGGCTTTCAGGACCGGTCTGTGGTTTTGGATGGATAGTGTAAGGCCGATACTGAACCAAGGATTTGGAGCCACCATTAAAGCCATCAATGGTATCGAGTGTAACGGTGGGAATTCAGGTGCGGTCAATGCAAGGATTAAGTACTATAAAGACTATTGTGGACAGCTTGGAGTGGATCCTGGTGGTAACCTTAGCTGCTAAAAAACTATTTAAACGCGCACTGAACGTGGCAGATGATGTGTGAAGTTGGTGTTTAAGATGAAATAATAAGTGAGATAATAAAGTTAAATAATAAATATCATGTCTATCCTTTTGTGTTGGGTCTTATAGTGTTCCCTGCTTCACAAGCAAAAATTGTTGTAATAAACTTGTGGAAGTGATTTTCTTTTTCATTTGCCACGTCTTGTGTAAGTGAATTTAAGATTAATAAGTCTCTGATCTTGACATTCACATTATATGCTTTTGGGATATTCCCACGAATTGGTATTTTCATTTAGCAAAAAAAAAAAAAAACTATTATGTATGTTGTATTTATTTAAGGAAACCATAGCAAAAAAATTCTCTTTGTGACCTCAAAACTAATTAAGAAGGGAAACTCGATTATGGAATCTTGTCAACATAGGGGGAAACTCGAAAGCATCTTTTTCTGTCTACTAATTGGCGTGTCTTACACAGTTACATGTTTCAAATATTTACATTCCCAACCCTCACGAGAAAATATTTGATGTACGACCTGCTGCATGTCTGACTTAAAACCAGAATTTGTTTGTAGAAAATGTCCAAAGTAATAAACCAATTCAACATGATAAATGATATTTTGTTTATTTATGAAAAACTGATACGTTAACTAATTTTTCTTAACTAATTTATGATGGTGTAGTGCGATTGAAAGATTCATCACGCAGGTCCAAGAGGCCCCCCTAATAGCTAAAGACAATCCAATAAGAATTTTCAAACTCAGAGAACTACAATACGATCATTTAAAAACAATCTCTTACAGATGCAATCAACTAAAAGTTATTAGATTTGGAAGAAGAAACAATTACATAGTATTTGGTAGGCCCAAACTTTAATGAATTAAAAAAGATTTATTTACAGAAAAATCATAGTACTCAAACTGATTTACAAATAAGTCATAGAAAAACATGTCTAAACAAAAAAGTCACTTTTTGGTATGAAGAAGATAATACTACCCTAAACTTTTAAAACATTTTCTCTCCTCTCTCTCGTTTGTTTCCTCGGACACTTTTTTTTTCCTCACCTCTCACATCTCA